GAACCCGACGTATTAGCCAGAGGTCCCTTTACTACGGTTCGGAGCCGCAGACCTGTTTTATATACGAATAGTTTTCTATACGAGAGTACATTCATGTAGTTGTAAAAAGTTTGATAATATATTAAGTAATCCTAAGTATTCAGAATACGTTACTCTCATTGAGTAATGTCACGGAATACGTTACAAAATACATTTTGGGGCAATCTGTAGTGGAATACATTTTAAAAGTAACCTTCCCAACACTGTTTAATGGCTAGACTGAAGGCTTCTAAGAGGACAGACCTCAAAAACACTTGGTGACAACTGGATCAGTTGAATCAAAGCAGGATTTGACAGACAAAAATTAGCACACCATCAAGTCTTGCACTAGTGATGGACAACCAATTTTGTCTAAAGAATTTTTACAATTTCTCTGTCTAAACAAGGTCATAGTCTCAGAGGATGCATAGCGTCTATAAAGACATACTTTGTAATGGAAAAAGTTTTATTTACTGATTAATCCTATTTTGTGGTTTGTGGTAGTAATGGAAGGGTGTTTGCAAGGAGACTGACTGAAGAGAGAAACCACACAACAATGTATCAAACCCACAGTAAAAAACACTGTGAAGACATCTCAAGGTATCTCTGTGGAGAAGTATTCATATTCATAACTCAAAGCTATGAAGAACCATTTCAACCCAAAGACCAAAGGCAGATATTTATTATGGACTTGTTAAACGTCACCACAAACCCACTGAAGATTTTGTCAAAAAGATAAACATTCCTGATCTCAGGAAAAACACAATAGTGCTGACCATAACTATGGGTAGCTTTATTTAAACACACACACACACACACATACACACAGGATGATACTTCAGTGTCTCAAAATACTCGGAATTAGTTGCATTGCTTTATGGAGTAAAAGGTGTGGGTACGTAATGGGGTTGTGGGTGTGTGATGAAGTTTCCTAGGAAGAATGGGAAGCAATAACTTGTGCTAATTGCTACCTTTTTGTTACAGAGTGCCCTTTTGTTTGCTACCTTCAATCAGGCTAATGTAGATACCCTTTAAATACCCTTTAGAGTCAGGATGACTAAAACTGGCTTATCCTAACTGCAAGAATGGATAATAAAATGTTTTTGTTTTTGTTTTGTTCGTTGTTTGCCCTTTTCTCCAATGTACTAGTCTTAAATAGGCTGGCTAAAATGTAGAGATATAAATGATGCGCCAAATTCAAAACTGTTTTTTAAGGGTAATTTTTCTCTGTTTTGTCATTATTTTATTATCTGTGAACTTTGCAAAATAAGCAAGAAAGCTGATCCCACTAAAGGTGGAAAAACAACAAACTTCACCACTTGAGGATTAAACTGCCATTTCATACAGCAGGAATGTAAGGTGGATATACTAGCCGCTAGTGATGTGTAACCCAAAGTAAACAAATGACTCAACCAGCTTCTCTGGAGTATTCACTGGCGCTCCATTTGACAGGGAGACCAGGGTAGATAAAAATTATTGATGTGGGTACATAGTGGTAAAATGAGGGCTTCAAGCAACTTGTTAAAACATGCTGAGCCAAAGCGCAAGGTCCTGTGTAGAAAATATTTATCAATTCATGATTTAGTATGTTACATTATTACACAAATGAACCCCACCATCAGGACAATGAACCATCATTTGATTTAAACGGACTAAACAAAACAGGTGTGAAAACACCTGTGAGAGGTTTAGTGTTACACACTCAATTTTTTGATATTTCATTGTAAAGCATCCTGGTACTTGTCCAGCTGTTCCTGTGGCTATTTGTCATGCAATTATGCACTCAAACAGTGAGTATAAGTATTGTAATAGCCACAATTAGAAACTGTATACACAAAAGGAAAAAAATGCTAACATTAGCACTGTTCAACTAACTCTGTTAGCATGGCACTAACAGAGGCACAGGGTGATAATTTTTGTCTAGCTAAAAAAACCCACACAACGTTTTTACTAGAAAAAATGAACAGCAAACACCTTTGAGTATCTTTTTGTAAGACCAGACTAATGAAGGTACTTTAGGACTTTATTTATCTGGGTGAGATTGTATGGGTTTTCTCATCCAAGAAGCTTCTTTGGTTCAACTGGTGGAGTCCAAAACAGTTGGAGGTAATAATCTTGGAGCTGGCCCTAAGGGTCGTCAGCACAATGTTGATCACGTTGTCACATGAGACATGACGAGAGAAAACGTGGGTCATTCCCATCACTGGGCCCACAGGTGAAACCTCTGTGAGACAATGACCCACCCCACCATGATGTGAGTTATTATGGTCACCTGAGGCCAGATGTGAATGGGAGTTGAAACACCTGAAATGGATCTCAGGACTGCACTGTTGGTGGGTGATAGCAGCTACAGTAGACGTCGATGGCGCCCTTTACTCGTATCTTAAATCAGGTGTCTTCTCTGCCCAAAATATAAACACTGGCATCCTGGAAGAAGTGTCATAATCTTAAAATGCAGGTGTAAAGCTGTGTTGTTTCCTGTTTGTAGAGAGGAGAGCTGTTTGTCCTATGTAGAGATCTAATCACTTCTCGCTGCACTGCACCGCATACACTGTGTTGTTTCGCTTGTGTTTGGGTGTTTTGTCCTTAGAGTGAACCAGTTCATTGGCTCACCTTCAGGAAACAAGGGAACAACCTCCACTAGGCATTTTAATACATAGGACCCTCCAACAGTTGGTCTGCGACTGAAGAAGACTTTTGAATGAGGTGCAAAATGTCCAAAAGTCTAGTTGCCTTTTTTTCAAGATGTTAAGACGACCATAACCCGGCTGACGGAGACCCTAGACCAGGTATGTCGAACTCCAGGCCTCGAGGGCCGATGTCCTGCAGGTTTTAGATGTGTCCTTGATCCAACACAGCTGATTTAAATGGCTAAATTACCTCCTCAACATGTCTTGAAGTTTGCCAGAGGCCTGGTAATGAACTAATCATTTGATTCAGGTGTGTTCACCCAGGGTGAGATCTAAAACCTGCAGGACACCGGCACTGGAGGCCTGGAGTTTGACACCCCTGCCCTAGACAAACAACATCCTCAAACAATTTTTATAAACAGGTAAA